CCCCAAAACCCCAAAACCCCAAAACCCCGCTGACTCTCACTTATTCAAAATTTTATAAATTTGAAAGTAAACTCTTTATAATAAAAATGCAAAATATCAAGGAAAGATAAGAATTTGAAAACTACAATAAAATCAAGTTACTCGGTGAAGGTTCTTTCGGTAAGGCCTTCTTGGTTGAGAGAGCATCAGACAAGGTATGATACTGATATAGGAATTGAAATTAATCTTATACTATATAGTTAAAATGTGTGATGAAGTAGATCGATATAGGAAAGATGAGTGAGTAAGAAAAGAGAGAAACTGTACAAGAAGCAAAGATATTAGAGGCATTATCTCATCCAAATATAGTCAAATTCATTGAAGTATACAAGACTAAGAAAGGAAAGTTGTGTATAGTCATGGACTTCGCAGATGGTAAGATAGACATATCGAATTCAGTCAAAAGTTTATTAATACTATGATTTTTAGGTGGGGATTTACAAGCCAGAGTAAAGGAGTAACGCGGTAGATTGTTTTCTGAGTCTTAAGTTTTAGAATGGTTTACTCAGATATGCCTTGGCTTAAAGCATATTCATGATCGCAAGATCCTTCATAGAGATCTGAAAGGATAGAATATATTTTTGACAAAGTAAGGTATCGTAAAGATAGGGGATTTCGGTATTGCCAAAGTTCTCGCTACAACTATGTAAAATGCAAGAACAGTCGTTGGAACACCATATTATCTTTCTCCTGAAATCGTCTAATCAAAGCCATACAACTTCAAGTCAGATATTTGGTCCCTAGGTGTGGTTCTCTACGAATTAGTTGCCTAGAAACCACCCTTTGATGCTCCGAGTCTTCACTTTCTAGCCATGAAAATTGTAAGAGGAGCTTATAATCCTCTGCCTGGATCTTTTAGTACCGAACTTAAAACCTTAGTTGGATAACTTTTGAACACAAATGAAAAATTAAGACCAGATGTGAATTAAATACTTGCCAAGCCAATCATTCAAAATAGAATTAAGTCATTTTTAACTGAAACAGTCTATCATAACGAATTCAGTCACACAATTCTTCACAAGCAAAATGTATTTGATCCTAAATAACAGTAAATAAAGTAATTATAGAATCTTTAACAGTAGATCAATTAAAATAAACCAGCTATTGCAGGAAATTAAATACAATCAAAACCAGTTGTGCAATAAAATCAACAATAAGTTCCTAGGTATAATCCGAACCCAATAGGCTAAAATAACCCAGTCAACAGAGGAGTTGTATAATAAACTCCTGTATAAAATCCCCCATCTTCCAGATTACCAGTTAAAAATTAGGTTTCACCAGGAATGGCTGCAGCCTTTGGAAATAATGCAAATCCTAAACAATAAAATCAAATAGTACCACCATAATATGGAGCTGGTGTCTAAAATGCAAAGCCTAACTACCACTATTAGCAGTAATAATAAAAGCAAGTCAATCCAATAGTAAATAACTAGCCTTAAGATAAAAAAGTACCACCCCCAGTGCAATAGTAAGCTAACTTATTTTAGCCAGATAAGAAGTAACTCGAGGAGTAAAAAGCATATCAAGAAAAAATGAGGATGATTGATTAAAAACTTAAGGAAAAGGAAATGGAATTAAAGCGATTAGATGAGATGAAGCAATAAAGATTAAAAGCCGAGTAAGCTCTTAAGGAAAGAGATAGGGAAAGAGATAAATAGGAGTTGGAGCTAAGAAAAAAGGAATAAGATAAAAAATAGAAAGAATAGCTCGAAGACATGTAAAGAAGAAGATTATAGGAAGACTAAGCTAAAAAAATCTAAGAAGCTTAGTAAAAAAGAAAGGAGGAATTAGATAAAATTAGAAAAGAAGGGGAATAGAAGAAATAGTAAGAGGACATATAGAGGAAAAAGTAGGAAAGAGAAAGGGAAGAGAAGGAGAGAGTATAGAAATAATTAAAAGAGCAATAATAAAAAGCACAAGCACAGGCAGTGATTTAGCAAAGAGAACAGTAGAGATAGCAGCAAGTGTAAAAAGGGGGATCAAATGATATTGATTTCATCAAGAAAATGGCTTATGATGCGCAAAGCAAGATTCTTGATATTGAGTAAAAGATATTGGCTAAAGACCAAAATAAGGCACAAGTATAATAATAGCCATTAATGAGCAATTATGAACCACCTGCAGCAGTTCAAAAGCAAAGATAGTAGCAAGCACCAAAGTCAGCTAGCAGAGCTCCTTAATAATAATAACCTAAAATGGTGTAAGAGATTAAAAAGGTTGCACCCACACATAGATAAGAGAGTGAAAATAACGCTTTGGATAAAAGAGCTAGAGATCAATAAGAGAGATCAAGAAAAGAGGAAGCAAAAAAGTAATTCATTTAAAACAACAAAAAAAGCCCAGGCTTCATTTAGATTGTCGATGGAATAGATATTTCAAATGATGATTAAAGCATATCAGTAGACGTATCCAGAGATAAAATTGAAATGATCAAGCCAAAATAAGTTTCTAAGACAAGAGCAAACTGGAATAAAGGAGGAAAAGAGCTAGAAGCATAACAAGAAAAGAAAGGTGGCTCTCCATTACAAGATAGCAAACCCTATTATAAGCCTTAACTAAAGAAAGAGGAATATCATAAGCCGAGTAGCCAAGAAAAGCGAGAGAAGTCACCTGTTTAGTACCAAGATCAGCGATATTATTATGAAGAAAATAACGGGCAAACATTCGTAGAAGAAGATTACAGTGAAATTTATAGAATGTATGATGAGATGCTTCAACTTGTAAAAGGTGGACTCGACACTCCATCCAAAGAATAAATTGAGAGGTCTCTTGATGAAGAAGAAAAGAAAGCTTGTGACAAAGATGATATTTCAGACGAAGGATTTAACGACGAGAGAGATGATGAGTTTGAAATTGACTCTGTGAAAGCAAAATTAGAATTTAAGGTTAAACCAGAGGAGGAGAAGAAAAGTCAGCCAATAAATCAAAAAAAATAAAAAGGTGGAAGATTTGATGATACTTTATCAACTGTCAATGAGGAATCTGAACCAGAAAATACTTTCTAAAATTCTCATCAATAAAGAAGCGAGAATAGAGCTGATAATATTCCTGATGTAGATGCAGATTCAGAGGATAGAGACGATATTGATGATGACTCAACTGATGTAAGCAGCAGTTCATAAATAGAGGTTAATCAAAATCCAATGTAAAACATGAACTAAAACTTTACATTTGCAAATGGTGGTGATGACTTGGTTAGTAAAGAACTTTCAAAATTCACCTCAGTTGAGCACTTGAGAGATTATCTTGAGACAGAATTGGGGGAAGAGAAAATCATCAAAGCATATCCCGTTCTTAGAGAATTTGTAAGACTTTTAATATGATATATAAAAATCTATAGGGTGATAATATATTCTTCCAAGAGAAGATAGATGATTTAGTGAAACTACTTGATGGAGTCTTGACTATTCAAGAGATTAAGAAATACTAGACTTTCTTTGCTTCTTTAATATTTATGGAACTACAAGCTGAAAAAGAGGGCGGCGGACAAGACGGAATAGTCATTGCCATGAAAACACTAAAAAATATCAATACAACAGCAACATTTGGACGATTCTTTTGATTATTATAATTAAAGTTTACTTTAATCTTTATTAGATTTATAATTCTAACTATTAATAGCATTTTTAAAGCTTGGGGTTTTGGGGTTTTGGGG